CCCCAAAACCCCAAAACCCCAAAACCCCAAAACCCCACTGTTTTAAGCATTGGTGGAGAGTTAATAAATAATATTAATTTTAGATATTCGATGGAATCCCTATTGCCTTCTCAAGTTGCTTTGAACTTGCTTACAAAGCCTAGCCACTCTGTCAATATTTTCAAGTATCTCGGACATGTCAGTTCTGCTTACTGAGTGCTCAGCAGGCTTTGCAAAGCTACCCAAGAATCCTTCTCGACAAATGATATTGCTTTCCTGAGAATACTGTCGAAGGAGGAGCTTGACTTCAAGTTCTACATCACTGATCTGTGTTCATTCATGCCAGTTGAGACTCTCAGGTTTTACAGTTTAAGAGTAGATCTGTCTGATCCAGAAGACATTCGCTACTTTGAACAAATATGATTTCAACTCATACAATTCGATAAAGAAAATCAAGGCCTTGAATATTCTGAGGAAAATCTGTGAATTGTAAATTATGATGGTTCCCCTCAACTTATGAATCCCTTCATCAAAGCAGACGAAATTACTCAAGAAATTGAGCAAACTCAAAAGCTTGAATCCGATCCCAACAAAACTCAAAAGCTTAAGCAGATGCTTGATGTTGTAAAACAAGCCTGTGTCAGAACTTATCTAAATTTAAAGGAAGTGAAGATCGATGGAGAACTAAGCAGTGAACTCTTGGATCTACTCATTAAAAGAAAGCCATACTTACTAAAGTATCCATTCAAATCAATATCTGTTAAGAACAAAGACCTCCCGGATATTTTACAGGCCAAGTCAATTATATTGAAGAATACGATGAAATGTCTAAACAAGTACACAGAAATTTTACAGAGAGAGACCACTTTTAGAGATATATTTTATAACTTCTACTATGAGTTCATGGAGGAACATATCAAACAGATTAAGTGCAGTTCAAAAATACTGACTGTTCAGACCTATACTACCATCAATCCATTAGAATTTGTTAGTCTTTTGGGAAATCATCCAACAATGTTGAAAGATGCAGAGGTGGTTCTCCTCAACATCTTAAGAAATGTTGACACTGTCCAGAATTGGTACAAGTTTGCCAAAGCCATGCTGACTAATGAGGAGGAAGTCTTTGCACCCAAAATGAAGCATTTCGAACTTACTACATACGGATATGGAAGATTTAATGGAACTTTTCTCTCTTTAGTTGACCAAGGAGTCTCCAAGCTATACCAAACCCACCCAGATTTTCAGAGGTTGATTGTCCACTCACGTTATGAAAGAAGGTATAAAGGACCAACTCCAAAAGGAAGACAACTAGAGCACATAATAAAGGAAGGAGAATGGCCAATGATGAACAAAGTAAATATCATCTCGCATGCTGAAAATACAACTTACAGTTATTGAATCCAATTTGAAACAGGCAATTTCAATGCTGAAGTGTTCTGTGACACTCATGAGGACTCTCTTATCTTTGGCAACATCCTGAAACTTGACTTCACCAACATCATGAGTGTAGAGCTGGTACCAGTTCCAAAAATTCCAGAAGAAATCCTTGAAAATGCCAACAGAATCTTAGTTGCGCCAAAAGGTAACATTCCTTATCCTGAGATATTCACTGAGGAAGGAGACTAAGTGTTTTTTGATTATCCAATAGTTTCAATTGTATTTCACAATCTTGGGGTTTTGGGGTTTTGGGGTTTTGGGGTTTTGGGG